GGATGGGAAGTTTTCTTCTAGAGACAAAATATAACGGCCAAAGGCATTGGCACTGACACTTTATTGCGTGGGATCAAGTGCTGCCTCTGCCACTTGTGTGTTTCTGGCCCCATTTAATGTGAATAAAGTTCTCAAAGCAGGATTCTGTACATAACAGTATTTAATAATAATAATAATAATAAAGCAGCCATTCTTACAAGAAGAGAATTGCAGAGGACAAGCAGGGGGTTGGATTTCTGGGTCTCGGCAAGCCAGTCTGGTTCCTAGAATGCTAATACTTACAACAACGTTATCTGAAAATCTAAGCAGGCATTCCTTTCTCATTACTAACAGCACATATAAAAAAATCACAATCTCACTGAAGATGAATTGCATTGATTTTCTTGCTTATGAATATAATTTGCTTTTAAATAGGGTGGGAGACAGGCAGAAGATTCTCTCATTATAGTACTGGCTTTTTAAGAGTAGCACATAGATGTCATTGTGAAGTGTATATACTTTTGTTTAGGATTTTAACCGGTTACCTCTTTCTTTTCCATTAGAGTTTTAAATTTTAAGAATTTTTATCTAATCCTCAAGGATGTGGTGCTGTAGTCCCAGCAATTCAAGGCACATATTTTTTGAGTATATATACTCCTTACTCTGGTTTTTTTTTTTTTTTTTTTTACAAATTATCTAGGCTTAGGTATCTGTTACAGCAACAAAAACCAGTTGAAGACACAAGAATAGCTGGGGTTGGCAGGGGTTCTGAGGTGGCTGGAATGCATTCAAACACAGGAATTTTCCACTCCCTCTTCCTTCACTCCCTGTGTCCATGCATAGCATGTATCAGTACCTTACCTAGAAGAAAAATTCCAGGCAGGCAGTTCCTTGCTTGCTTATTCACTGCAGAAAACCCAGCTTCGAGAACATGGTGTGGCACATGACGTGTTTCCAAAGTAGGCAGATACAGACTAGATGAAAGGATTAGAGTTAACATGCTGTGTTCGGGTCAGGATACTCTTGAGGGACCTGGGGAGGTGTGCTGGGGCATTGACTCAAGCCTGGACCAGTAGAGGGGATGCAGGCATTGATAAGAGAACCTTCAGAGAAAGGGAAGGGTGGCCAAAGGAAATGAGAAGAAGACAAGGTGCAAAAGAGAAGGGGAAAAACATCAAGGTCAGCTTTCATCTATCGAGGAAAGACTACAGGGGGAATGTTCAATGTTGAAAAGGTTGAAATGAATATAAATCGGAATGTGACATTGAATTGCATGATGAGAAGACTTCGAATAACCTCAGTGGATACAGATTGCAGTGGGAAAAAGAATGAGTAGGAGAAGCAGTAGAAGCAGCAGATACTGACTAGATTTTTAAGATATTTGGACTTGATGACAGTAGATTGAACAAGTTGGGTTATAGCTGTTTAGAGAGGGTCCTTAGCTTTGAGTTGATGCTAGCTTATTTAAGGACTCGGAGAAAGAAATCTTACCTGTCCCAAGCAAAGCAAAGCAAAACAAAACAGATTATCCAGGACAAAAGGTATAAACAATATTTTGAATTCAAAAGATAGGGAAGAGATAGTCTGTAGCATAGGTGAGACTGAAGAAAGGCCTTCTTGCTATTTTTTTTTTTAAATAAGGCTTATTTTGTTTTTATTGTAAACATAGATTTACAGAAAGAAGGAGAGGAATGATAGAGAAAGGTTTTCCATCTGCTGGCTCACTCCCCAAATGGCCACAACTTATAACTGAGCTGATCTGAAGTCAGGAACCAGAAGCCAGGAGCTTCTTTCAGGTCTCCCACTCAGACGCTGGATCCCAAGACCCTATGCCATCTGTTGGTAGCTGGAATGGATGGGAAGTAGAACAGCCAGGACATGAACTAATGCTCATATGGGATCCCAGTACTTGAAGGTATAGTATTAGCCAATCGAACCATTACACCAGGCCAAGGTTTATGCTAGAAAACAAGGCCAATGAACTGGAATTCAGGCACAAGCCCCATCTACCTTACAGGATAATACCTTATGGGTTTAATTCAAGCATCCACAACCAGAACTGACTCAAAGATCACCAATACAAGCAAGAACATTTCTTATCTCCCACCACAACAGAAGTGTTATTAAAGTGGCACTACAAAGTCAGCGTACCCTTCTATCTACCACTCTTTAAAATCTCTTACAACAGAAACTTAGACCAGAAAATGTGGTTCAGTCCTAATCACTGGGTAGCAGAAGTCAGTAAGATTCATGTCTATGTGAGTATCAAGTCACGAGTGGGAGAGAAGGACAAACACAGAGGAATTATTTTTCTTGGAAGAATTCAACCTCTTTCTTATCCCCATAATTGTTGTCTTATCTAATACGTACTTCAACTTGCCAGACTGCACATGGCTTAACCAAGTAGAGCAGTTTCACTGATTGAGACATATCTCTGGAGAAGAAATATTTGTTTACCACGTTTTTTTTTTTCTCAGCATGATATCTTTTTTAATGACAAAATTTATGATATATTCTATGTATCTCATCAGCAACTTAAGAAGGTGGCGATAGAATATTTGTTCATAGGGAATTGTATAGTACCTTATGAAATACGAGCAAAGTATTAGCATCAAGGATTTCAAATAAAGGGTACTCTCCATACTGACGTTCAAAGTTGTATATACGTGACCTGTACAACGGATACTAACATATCAGAAAGTAAAAGTACTATGCATTATGTGTTTCTGCTTCCAAGTAGAAGGACTTTCAATGAAACTTTTAAATATGTCTCTAGAAATGATACTAGATTTTCTACCTATGTCTGTACTTACCATATCATGATATATTTAAATGTTAAAAAATTAAACTTGTGACTTGTGCTAGGGGACTATACTATTTTGACAATATGGCAACGAAAAAGGACAAGGAGGGGAGAACAGGGAGGAAGGAATGAATTCCTACACCTACAAAAGTGGATTGTGGAAAACCAAAAGAAAAAAATAAATAAACAAAAAGATACAACAAACATAAGAGGCAAATTCAGAGTATTGCTAATATATCTACTTGGTTTCTTATGTAGAGACTTTGATGCACAAAATAGACAATAAAGCATTTAATGATTTTTTGGGGAGATTTTGATACAGTTTAGTAGTCCTTAGTGATTAGGGATATAGTTTTTACAAATAATTTTTGGAGCTGAAATTATATAACATTTTGTGAGAATATGAAAAGAAACCAAAGATCCGCTATCCTTACTCTTCATCAATATGGAATCACACAATGTAGCATTGAACACTACTGAACATGGCTTTTTAAAATATTCAGGATTAGCAGAAATGTATCCAAGCTTCCCTGTGTTTAGAATAATTAAAGAATGATTAGAAGCAAGGGGGAAGTTGTCAGAGGCAATCAACGGGCAAGAGAGGTAACTTTAGAGCCCGCTGCCTTTCATCTTACCTTCACATCACTGCCCAGAGCCCCTCTCCCGTGTAACCCCAGAACTTGAAGGGCTAGTTTTCTCCAATGTTTAGGAAAACAGACAGCACTTCAAAAGTCTACCCTGTCCCCATGCAGGACTGAAGAGTGAGGAAGAAACCAGGAGTTTAGCCAGGATGCGACAAATGTTGACCATTCCCTGAAGCCCCACGGCAGAATCTGGGACTGAAGCACACTCTGGGACCCGGCTCGCGCCTGCCCTGACTTTGCACATGAGAAAGCTGAAGCCCAGGAACTGAATCTCATGGTTCAAAGTCACCTGGTGTCTTGGCGATGTCCTAGTACCATTCCTCCTCCAACTACCTCCTCATCCAGGAAGGTCCCTCCACGCACAGACCACTATTTTTCCCTAAGCCAAGACTCCCTTTTTCTCTGAACTTTTATTATGGAAAGTGTCAATATCTTTAAATAGAGATATGAGAATAATAAACCCCTTTAGTTATCAACTCCCTATACTTTCATTGCTCTCAATCCTCCTACAGGATGATTTTGCAACAAATTTTTGATATCATAAATATTAAAGACCCAAAGAAATTATATAGGAAACGTGTCCTCAGGAAATTGTGATGTTCCTGATCTGTACCCTTGTGCTGTATGTAGTGTTCTTTATTTGAGAACTAAAGGCCAGTGTCATCTCAGCACTGCTATAGATAAGACACACTCTGCAGCCCTGTACACACACTCACAATGTTAGACTGTGATGCAAAAAGGTATTTTCGTGATGCTATTGTCTGGGGCAGCAACTAAGTGTGGATAAAGCTGATTTTAGAGAGAAACATCCTTCTATGTTGAAAAAAAAAAATACCACCAAGTACTTATTTAAACTGGGCCTTAATTCCTCTAGCCTGAGATTTAAAGGCAGTTTATTCTATGAATCCATATGATGGGCACTAAACACTGTAACTCTTACATTTAACAAATCTATAAGGTAAATGAAAAACTGAAAATGTTTACACCAATAAGGTCACTGCCTTCCTAGGACAAAGATACAGGAACCGTATCAAAGAGTTATCCTCAGGAAATTGTGAGCATTTGTGTGTCTTATAAACAAGACATTAATTTAAAATTAAACAACAAATATGGCAACATTTTTTTTTAGGATCCAGCCACTGAAATCATGTCCACAGAATAAAAAAAAAAAAATGGAAAGGACATTTAAAATAAATTGTAATTAACAAATGAGATTGTGCTTCTAGAAGCAGGTATATAAAACAGCTGTGTGTGTCTGTACACATGGGATTTCTGCCACCACAATATTAATGAACAACATTAGTATCTCCAATTCTGCACTATTTCATGCCCCCCAATTCATGTCACACTTCACGTGAATTTACAAATAGATACTTAAAAACAAAAATACACTAGAAAGGCAAAACCAATACAAAACAAGGGTAAATCTAAGCGTTTTGTATGCAAGTGAGATCATATCACCTCAACTATAGAATCACTTTTCTTCTTAAAATGAATCTTGAAAAATAGAATATTCAATTTTTAAAAAATTCAACCATTTAGCCTATCTTAAACCAGGGTTAAGAAATTCATACCTGCTGAGGTTTCTCTAAATTTGTCACTGGTCTTCTTTTTCCTCCATTTCCAAGGCTTGAAGATCTTACCGATGGAGGACAGCTTCCCTTTTCTCTTGAAGGGAGGTGTTTGGGAACCTGTTGTCGGGCCATCTGAATTTGCTACAGAAGCTTTGTCCAGTCCGTCAACTGTTCAGAGAAAAAAAAAAAAGTCAGAAAAAGGCTTTAAAAAATGTTTGAACCAACATCCAACATCTTTCCCTTCTGGTCTATTGGCAGTGAGAACGCCTTCTCTCGCTGGAATCTCTCACAAAGTTTGTTCTGTCCCATTTTACGGCTGGTAGGAACCTCTTGGTACATCAGTAAATCAATCAATCAGGAATGAAGAGTTCCTTAAGAGAATCATTTTGCAGAACCACAAAACTAACAAGAGCCTTACATGACAGGTAGGGCCTGACACACGTGAACCCGTGAAAACAGACGCATCCACGTGCGACAGCAGGAACAGTTTGTGCTGAAAAGTCTAATGTTTCTGAGGTAGGATGTTCCTCCAGAAGCTAGTTCGGCATTCTCTGCTATGAAAATTATAATTATGGTGTACTGAAAGCCATGGGTTCCCCTTCACAAAATAAAATTTGATGCCAGGAAGGAAATTCTATTTTTACAATACTGAACTATCATTTGCCTCTATTACAAATTAAATAAATAAATAACTAAAAAAGAACTCCAAAATACAGTGTTTTGCTTCAAACAGAATGATAGCCAATACTAACAACAAGAAATATCTAGAAGATGTGGGCACTATGTGTGATCAAACAGATCTCTGTATGTCCTCATCATTTTATTAACTAAAAAAAAAAAAAAAAAAGGTACAAAATTCTTAAGTTGCTTTGTACCATGTTCTAAGCCAAAGGGAGATAGCAATGAAGCAATGACTCATATTAAGCCAACTATCAGATTTTAATAGCAAAGAAATGGAAAGACCTGATGAACTTTGAAATAGCTGTGAATAATTAAAAAGAATAAAACAGGAGCACTGATAACACAGGAATGCAAACATTATCTCCACACATCCTAAGATAGCACAGTGAAGAGTATGTGCTGTGTGGTTCCATTTATTTGAAGCTCTTAAAATAAGAGAAACAACATTGTAGGAAGAAAAAGAAGAAAGAAAAGGAGATTAAAAAAAAAAACAGTAGTTTCCTCTTGGACTGAGACAGAAGTAGGAATAAATGGAGAAAGGCTCAAGGGAACTTGCAGTTGTAATTGAAATTATGGAAATTATCTCCACAATGACTGACTTATACAAGACTCATCAGATTTTATTTTTGATTTTGTGCATTTCACTTTATGCAAAGTTACCTGAAAAGAAAAAAAGCATAAACAGTGACCGTTAAGGATTGAGAAGCATGCTAAACTATTTGAGTGTATAGTCATATCCATAAAAAAATACAGAGATGGAAGAGGCACATGGAAACACACATGGAATTAAACTATAGCAATAGATTAAATGTGTAATTTAGGTGGTAGGCAATTGGAGATATTATTCTTTTGCTTTCTCTTTTTGAAAACTGGCATTAAGAAATCCTGGGAAAAATACAACAAAGAAAAGCAAAGGACTTGGGCTTCCAAGAAAGCAGAATAAACAATTTACACTTTCCAATTTTCTTGTTAAATACAACTTAACAATTACTGGATGTCATATTCAAAAAGAAAAAAAAAAAAAGTGAAAGAATTCCTGACTCTGTGAGGCAAAGAGATCTTACGACACAAGAGACAACACGGTAGTTCCATGGGGTTTTTGTGCGTTACACGCCCACATCCACAGCTCAGGTCAACAACTCAAAAATGTCAATGGGCAGAGATTAAAACAGTTTCAACAAAAGCCTGCCTTTCTGTAGATACAGGATCGGGACAGAGGCAGCTTACAAGGACAGAAAACCTTTAGCCACTAACCAGCCAGACCCCTCAGAGCTCACAATGGCCTTCCATGCCAGCCAACTCTGAGTGGAGACACTAGCCCTCCACTCCCACAAGGTGTCGACAAGGAATCCTAACACCCAGAGGCGCAAGTGAGGAAACCACGTGGGGAGCGAAGACCTTCAGTGCCTGCAGGGTGACCAATTGACAAGGAAGCATCCTTCCCCACCCCTCACGGCCCACCCCGCCCAGGAAGAAGGCCCACCACCCCTTCCCAGCAATAACTCGGCATTTCTTCCTCCTGCTAACACCAGGACGGACTCAAACTGCTGCTCATAAGGAACCAGGTCATCTCCATCATGGTGTCAACAGGACACCCAACACACAGTAATGTCAAGAGAGGACAGGCAGGGAACCCCACTTTTCACCTCCATGTTGGAGTGACAAGTTGGCACCCACTGATTGTTGCAGAGGGAAGCTACCATCAATCCCAATGACAACAGAAGGTTTCAACAAGATATATAAGCTCTCATGACTTATTACAAAATCTCAAAGTTTCAGTCAAAAACCACACAGCATATAAAGCACCAAGAAAATCTTGGAATGAATGAAAGGCAATAGTAGATGGCAACTCCTAAATCCTTCTGAGGTCTTGTCCACACAAGCATATGGAGAACTCCCATTCCTTGTACAGGTAATGACCACGCTAACATCAGGTGCTGTTTGGACAAGAGGTGCCCAGAGTCTGGACATTACTGAGGAGTAACCTGGTGATGCAAATTCTACATTGACTGATTCTAAATGCGATTCCTAAAGACTTTCATCATAGGGTAACAGATAAGGAAAGTTAGGTGGATTTTCAAGCTAAGTCAGGCTACAGATGTAAAATCCCTTTGTTGAAAAGTCAGTTTGCTTGTCTGTTTATTTAAAATGCAGAATTACAGAGAGGGAGAGACATATATAAAGTGGGGCTGGGGTGGGGGAGTTGCAGAGATCTTTCCATCTACTGTTTCAACTCCTGAAATAGCCACAGCAGCCAGGCCAAAGCCAGGAGCTTCATCTGGTCCACCATGTGTGTGCAGGAGTCTAAATACTTGGGCCAGCTTCCACTGCTTGTGAGGTGCACTCGCAGGGAGCTGGATCATCAGTGGAGTGGATGGTACTCAAACTGAAGCCCATATGGAAGGCCAGCATCATGAACAGCAGCTCCAGCTACTGCAGCCATTTGGGAATGATCCAGCAAATGGAGGGTGCTTGCCTCTGTCTCTCCTCTATGTAAGTCTGCCTTTCAAATTAAAAAAAAAATCTTAAAAAAATGTAATTCTATTCCTGTTCAGTTATCTTCCTGGAATCAGGAGCACACCTAGGGAGGCAGAGAGCATATGGCTATTTTTCAGATAGACTTCATGCTTAACGTTCATGGAAGGACTTAACATTCAACAATGCAAATGTTGCAAAAAAATATATATATATAAGGGACAACTGTTAAAATACAACTTCTAGGGCCCAGCAGCGTGGCCTAGTGGCTTAAGTCCTCGCCTTGAACGTGCCCGGGATCCCATGTGGCCACCGGTTCTAATCCCAGCAGCTCCACTTCCCATCCAGCTCCCTGCTTGTGGCCTGGGAAAGCAGTTGAGGATGGCCCAGAGCTTTGGAACCCTGCACCCGCGTGGGAGACCCGGAAGAGTTCCTGGATCCTGGCTTCGGATCGGCACAGCACTGGCCGTTGTGGTCACTTGGGGAGTGAATCATTGGACAGAAGATCTTCCTCTCTGTATATTTAACTTTGTAATGAAAATAAATAAATAAATCTTTTAAAAAAATACAACTTCTAGAGTTATCATCTCAAATTTATTTTTGTGGCTATAGACACATGTCTAATTTTTCTTTTCTTACAATGGAACAAGAACGAGCTTCATCTCCCAACCCTTAGATTCAGTTTTCTTCTACTCTATAAACAAAGTGTTTGTTCCCTCTGAACCAATGAAACACAGTTCATTGTTCTTCTGAAAATAAAAAGAAACAATTATACTAAACAATTTCCTAGATGACAGAAAGCGGTCCAGGGTGTGGGTAATTGATAAGTGAAAAATTATAGCCTGAATGTTAAAATTCATACAGCTGCATATGAAATTAACTGTCATTGTCTTTGTTTATTGTACATTTATCTTAATCCCAGCTCTGGAAGGGGCTGGTCAGTGCCAACGGCTGCTGTGGTGGACACACATTCACATACCCTTTTTCCTGCCAATGAATCCATCTGCAGTTTTATAATTGTTAGGCAATTATAACCATACTTGCAGCTAGATGCTGTATAAAGGACACTGTTGACCGAAGCGCCATTGAACTTTTCCCAGACATGTGAAGAGCGCAGTTTCCTGCTTTGAGGTGTATGAACAAAACTTTAACTCCTTTCTCGTTGACACCCATTATGTTTGAAGTAACAGTGACACACTTTCCTTTTCCTTTAATTTATATGATAATCCCTTTGAGGGGTGGTAATTTAATAAGTTTTTAAGCCACTGGCTAAGATATACACATCCTGGGGTCAGCATCACACTGCAATGGTTTAGCAGGTGTGGCTTACAATGCTAGCATCCCTGTGACAGAACATCAGTTTTTTGCTTTTGATTCAGCTTCCTGTGAGTGCACCTGTGAAGATGGTAGAAAACATTGCAAGTGCTTTGGTCCATGTCACCCGCATGGGAGAATCGGATGGAATTCTTGCTTCGTGGTTTCAGCCTGACCCATTACTGCATATTGTTGCAGCCCCTCGGGAGTGAATCAGCAGATAAAAGACATATAACCCCCATCCCCATCTCCATAAGCAAATAAATCTTAAAAAAAAAAACTAAAAAACAAACAAAACAGACACCAACATCCAATATTAAGTTGGCTTTTAAACCTGGGCCTGGCTCCTGCCGCCTACCGCCTACTATGTCATATCCTAGGAGGCAGTGGTGATGGCTAAAGTAGCTGAGTTCCTGTTGCCCATGTGAGACACCTGTATTTAGGTCCTGGCTCCTGGCTTCAGCCAGTCCAGTCTCCATTGTGGGTATGTGAGGAGTGATCTTACTAGTTAAGAACATTTTTTTCCCCTCTATTTGTCTCTCCAAAAGCAAGGACAAAAAAAAAAAAGGAAACAAACTTCCATTTGAAACTTTTTATAAATTCTGTTCCTGTATTGGTAATGAATTTTGTATTTACATATAGACAAGAACAAACTGTAAAGTAAATCTCAGATGAAAATTGAAATTTCCTGTTTATAA